TTTAGAGCAATGGTGGTAACAGAATATAATGTGTTATTACTTCCATTTTCATATTCTGAAATGACTGTGGCATTACTCATTGGAGATGCATTAGACTTTTTGGACATGTTTTTATGCAATTAACTTCACAGAAGTGAAAATGCCAACAAATTTCCAAACTATGGCCATGGAAATTTCCATGTCTGGTTTAATAATACAAAATAACCTGTAACTTTTATTACATGCTATTTACTAACCACTGTTGGTGTGTAATAAACAATAATATATAAAAATACATAAAAACTCATGAATGCACTTAATAAAATTAAAAAGATAAGAATTGAAAAATTGCTAGCACAGAGCCTTACATAGTAGACCTTCATTAAATATTAATTTCTCTGTTTTCTTTTATATTTAACTCTCTATATTTAAAAGACGGTTTTGTTAAAGGTCTACTCATACCAAAAAATGTGAGGGGGGAGTGTTGAAGTATGAAGAGTTAGTCTTTAGATCACTCATTTCACTGATCATTTTGGGAAGATAGAAATATTATGTATCAGACAAACCTTATTCAAATCCCAGCTAGTTGTGTGACCTTAGGAAAACTATTTAATTTTCTGAGCATCAGTTTCCTCTTATTAGAATAAGCAAATTCTCTGAAGATTCAAGGCAGTGGACAATAACACTGCCTTACAGAACCATAATAGTTTAGGATGAGTCCATTAAACACTCAGTTCATTGAATTTGTTTAGTTTTGGTTCCAAACAACATTCTAAAGATGTAGTTTCCTAAGTAAGTCTCTCTAGAGGTAGATTTTGCAGTGAGCACATGAGCTTCTGGACCTTTTCAGTCATTTCTTAGTGTAAATCAGTGATTTGCACTTACCTAATCATGTTGGTTTACCACAGAAAAGGAATGCACACTTTTTGAAGGCATAGGCAGGCTGGCTACCTGGGTGTTGAGATCTCCTTCTAAATTATCCTGTCTCATTGCATGAGGGTGACTAAGTGAGTTTCATTTCTTCTCCCAGAGATGGACCAGCTTTTTATGTGCAGGTGAAATAAAGGTTTTGAATCTACAACGCGGAGGACTATAAGTTCAAGTTTATGTATTTAGCATGATAACGAATGTCAACCAGGGAGACCTGAACAGAAGTGATAAACCTCTTTCCAAACTACTTCTGCATACTTTTCAAAAATCTAAATTTAATTATTAAGAAAGTAATAACTGGACATAATTTAAACATAAAAAGGATTACTTGGCTTATAATAAATAGCTCCTGATTCCTGCTACTCAGAGACAACCATGTTCAACTCTTGAAGTTATTTCTTCTGGTATTTACTTCCATATTTCCAAATTTCATGCTTCTTGACTTGATTGCTTGGTTTTTAGAGTTTGAGGCACTTTCTATTTTTTTTTATACAATGGAAGAAGAGGGTTTTACAAATCCTCTATTGCTATTTTACAAATACCAACCAATCTTCATCCCTGTTGCTAACACACACACACACATGCCCCTTCTATGTAGATTTACCACAGTCTTTGTTTAGAATCATTGAATCATTATAATGGTACCTAAGCATCTTCACAGCTGAGACATTGTTTGTGAATATGCTAATTGCACATCTTTTCTTGCACAACTTTTGCTTTTTTTCTATAATGAACAGTAAGGAAGGGCCATGTCATATGATCACACTGTACGGCCTAGTTAGGAATATATGCCTTTAAATTTTTGTTTTATCCTTTAGTGATCACTTATGCTCTGTTTTCTGTTTATAGAACTATTATTATTTAGATGCTAGATTTCTCAGATTGATTCAAAAAGTGAAATTTCCCCTAATTTCAATATCTCTACATTTGATCTCTGCATTCTATTTTGTTTTTTAATGCTTCTGTTTGAAAGATTTCAGAACACCCCAAAATATGCTAATTTGGCATAGTGACTCTTCTGTGCTAAAGGCACTGACCAGGCACAAGAAAGACACTCTGATCTTCCCTTTTCTTCCTAAAAAATGGAAGAGGAAACTCCCATGTGAAAGATGCTTTCCCTGACCCGGTAGAAAAGAACATTCTTTTCACCAGAGACTGGGAATTGAGGCTGAAAAGAACCATTACAAATTAACCTTGTTAAAATAACCATTATCTTCTTTTACCTCCTTATATATTTCAGTTACTTTTTCAAAATTACTACTATTTATTCAACCTAATATATTAGCACTAGGCCTAACTGCTCTTTTGAGTCTTTATTTTCTCGTAAAGTCTTTAATGTACATGTGAAAAGAAAGTTTGTATGCTTTTCTCCTGTTAATCTGTTTTATGTCAAATTAATTCTCAGGCCTACCAGGTGGTCCTAAGAGGGAAGAGAAAAAGTTTTGCCACCTCTACATGTTGAAAGGTTTATTTCTGCATTATATATTTAATTTTCTTTCTCTCTCTCTCTTTTTTTTTTTTTTTTTTGTAGCAAAACATTCTTTGCTTGTTTTATGAGCACCTTGTTTTAGGTTGTTGCAGCATCTGCTCTTACCTTTTTAACAAAATGGATTTAAATGCTTTAGAGTTTCCTTTCGTTTACTCCCTTATATTTGTTATCTCTATTTCCTTTTTCTGTTTGTTCAGTCCCTACATTTCACGTTAAAGCGTCTCTTTGTTAACTGGTGGTTTCTGGTTGCTCATTTTAAAAGATAGATTATTAGGAGTTGTTTCTTGACACAATTTGGCCATTTGTGGACCTTGTCCCAGGGCGATTGAATGTGGGACCTGGCTCTCTTAGTAGAAAACTACAAAAATAACTTCTCTAGGTTTTTCTTCTGGGTGGATCAGTTTCCCCAGAAAGAATGTCTTTAATTTTCTACATAATAATATAAAATTGGCTGCAAACATTTTGGGAGTCCAGTAAGGAAAAGGTGCTAGTGAAGAGAATAGGGGATTTTATAAGCCCTTATACATTAAGAACTCTGGAGAATGAACTATGTCTTATTCATTCTAGTAACCCCTGTGGCACTGACATATTGTGCCTTACATATTGTGGCATGGGGAGGTATGAGCACTTTTGTCATGCTATTATTTGTCAGGATTGATTTAGTGTTCTCTTGATGTTCCACGTGTATCCCTTTAAAAACTGAAAGAGGATGAGAGGCCTTTACCAAAGCCTCTTCTTTGATCAGAATGCATTCATTGCTGAGCTTCTGATTGTACAGGATAAAGCAGTCAACCTACGTATAAAGTGCTTAATTAGTTCCTGGTATAGAAACTGTTATTAGATTCATATTTGTGAATGACCTAAAATTAATTTATTAATTAAACAAATGTGTCTTTGAAGCATGCAGTTTTGCTAAGGCGATCTTTACTTTTAATAATGCTTATCCTCAAGCACCTTATATTCTAGAAGAGATACATGAAAAATTGATAAATTAAATAATAAGACTTACAATCACATCAAAAATAAGAAAATACTTAGGAATAAATTTAACCAAGGAGGTGAATATTTACAAGACATTGATGAAATAAATTAAAAGATATCTTACATTCGTGGATCATAAAAATTAATATTCTTAAAACGACCATATTACCCTAAGCCATCTCTGTATTCAATGCAATTCCTATCAAAAATCCAATGACATTTTTAAGAGAAATAGGGAAAAAACCCCTAAAATTTGTATAAAACCACAAAAGAATAACCAAAGCAATCTTGAGAAAGAAAAACAAAGGTGGCCATATCACACTTCCTGATTTCAAACTTTGTAGTAATTGAAACTATATGGTACTGGCATAAAAATCGACACGTAGACCAATGGAACATACAGGTAACTAATATTTGACAAAGAAGCCAAGAAAACTCAGTGGGGAAAGGGCAGTTTTTTCAATAAATGGTGTGGGGAAAACTGGATACCTGCATGCAGAAAAATAAAATTAGATCACATTTTATCCCATTTACAAAATTAACTCAAAATGGATTAAAGACTAAAATGTAAAACCCAAAACTCTAAAATTACTAGAAGAAAATAACAGGGCAGAAGCCCTTTGACATTGGCCTTAACAAGAAGGCCATGATACGGGAAGTGTAAGCAACAAAACAAAAAATAAACAAACAGGACTATATCAAACTTAAAAAGCTTTAGCACAGAAAAAGCAGCAATCAGCAAAATAAAAGGCAACTTAAGGAATGAGAGAAAATATTTGCAACCATTTACCTGGTAAGGGGTTAATGTCCAAAACATGTAAGGAGTTCGTACAACTCAATAGCAAAAACAAAAAACAAAACAACAACAACAAAGTGATCCAATTAAAAAAATGGGCAGAAGAACTGAATAGACAGTTTTCCAAAAGAGAAGGTGATCAGCGTCCCTAATCATTAGGAAAATACAAATGAAACCCACAGTTAGATATCACCTTACACAATTTAGAATGGTTATTATCAAAAAGATAAAGGATAACTTGAGTTGGTGAGGACGTGGAGAAAAGGGAACTTGTACAAGGCTGGCGCTACAGCCACCTTCAAAAACAGTATGGAGTTTCCTCAAAAAATTAAAAATAGAACTGCTGTAGGATTCAGCTATCCCATTTCTGGATATATATCTAAAAGGGAATTTAATCACTATTTCAGAGAGACATGCATTCCCAGTTCATTGTAGCATTGTTCACAATAGGCATGAGAGGGGAATGGATGTAAGTGTCCTTAAATAAACATGGTAATCAGAGGACTTTAGCAAACAGAAAGCTAAAAAGATTAGCATTACCGCACAAGAGGATTAAAGAGGGTGGGGGAAAGCACTAGCACATAACATAAAATGATGGGAAACAGTTAGACCTTTCAGCGGTGCTGGCCTATTGTCCTTTGAGGGCAACTCTGAGGCCTACTAATGCTTTTCTGCAATGGCTGCCAATCATCACTGCATTTCCATTCCTTACTAAGGTCAAGGGCAGCGTGTGTTCTCAATAAAGAGGCCAGGCTCAAAAAGAAGTTGGTTTTTTAAAAAGATATCTTATTGAAAGGAAGATCTTGCAGAACTATTGGCCTCATTACCAATATTTTGCTTTGCTTATTTGCTTTGCATTTTTGAGCAAGGAGCCCTGCTAACCTCCTCTGTATCATTCCCATTTTAGTATATGTGCTGCCGAAGCGAGCACATTGCTTTGCTTCCCTGTGACGTGTACATATGTGATGCCAAAGGAAGCTCCTTCCCATGACTGCCTTCAGATAGATGGAAAACAGGAATTTCAGTTAAATGTTATTCATTCAACAAAAATATACTGAGAGCCTCCTTTGAATCAGGCCCTGAGACACAGCATGACTCTGATATGTCAAAGATCCTGACATGTGTACAATCCAGTGAGAGAAATAGACAACAGTAAAGTAGCTACACACAAAAATGTAAATTGCAACAATAATAAATGCTATCAGGGTGATAAACACAGTGCTATGGATATTAGATTAGGCATTTTTAAAGGAGTGAATCCCCTTCCCCCCAGACAAAGGTGAGTAGCTACAATCTTGGAGATGATAGAAAGTATGTGCAAAGCCCTGGGGCTAGGGTCAGGGAACCATGGCAAGGAGGCACTGAGAGAAGACCAGTGGAGAGAATTTGGGAGGAGGAGGGTATAAGAAGAAGTGTCAGACCATAGTAGGGTTGGGCCATAGTACTCTTTGTGGCCCATGAAGGAGTTCTGTCGTTTTCCTAAACACAAAGGAAAGGCATTCAAGGGCTTTAAAGGTGGTATGTTTCTGACGTCTTTACACTTGTGCTTCGGAAAGGTCATTGTGGCTGCAATCAGCAAAGCAATTTGGAAAGGCAAGGGTGGATGGTAGAACACAAAACACTGATCAAAACTTACTGAGAATTGTTGCATGAAAGCAACATTTAATTTATAAGAGAATAAAGCTGTAAAGGATATCAAGAAATTTAATCTGACACTCTCCTTTCAGACCTGTGGATGTTGCACACTTTTAGGACAAATGACTTCATAAAGTCTCCAAGAAGACAAAGATCTGCTATATCTCTTGGGAACAGATACTGACATTTGACTTTATTACAGAGGATCCCATTTCAGTGTTTTAAAATGCTACAGCTCTTATTGAATAACCTTCACAACAACATTGAGAAACAAGTTGGCGTCATAGTTTTGATTTTACAGACGTGGAGTTTAAGAAATTAGATTTAGTAGCAGTGACTTTCTTTCCAACCTTCCGGTTCCCTGAGTTGTCCAGATGACCTTGCATTCAACAGAAATGTCCTGGAGCAAGTTGGATGGATGTCAACTGCAATATTATTTAGACTTATTGGGCGTCTCCTTGAAGCTATTTCAAGCATGAGGCTACACCCTTTGACTATGTTTTTACTTTTTATGTACACAATATATGCATTTTACAGTTAATTTCACCAATCCCTCTGTTACTTATTGACCTTTAAAGGCAGGTTTATACACAATCATTTTATGAACTTGTAAGGATTTTGCTAAGTTCTCAACCTTACTGTATATGGATTGAACCAAAGCTCTGTGTCCAATAGAGTGCGCATGGTGAAGGTTTCAAAGGGTCGATTCATTTTAATCTCACAGAAAAGAATGTATATAAACTTTCTCTATTTTTTCCTTAGGTGATGAAACATAAAGTCTACAAATTGTTTAAAAAATTAAATCAAGCCACTGGTGTGGCTCAGTGAATTGAGTGCCAGCCTGTGAACCAAAGGATCATTTGTTCAATTCCCAGTCAGGGCACATGCTGGGGTTTTGGGCCCGGTCCCCAGTAAGGGATGCATGGGAGGCAACCACACATTGATGTTTCTCTCCCTCTCTTTCTCTCTCTCTTCTCCTCCCTCTAAAAATTAAATAAATGAAATCTTTAAAAAATTAAATCAAATCATAACAGTAAAGGTTCATTTTAATTAACATTTCTTTTTTGATCTAATTTGTAATATTGACTCCTCATTTTCTAGAGCTCCACAGAAGTTTTAAAAGTATATGATATTCGAAAATAATTCCTGGAGAGCATCAGAGGGAGCAAGTTTTCATTATCTCTTTTCTCCCAAAACAGGCATACTTCTGGCCCAGAATCTGAACTCAGGATTTTTCATTAGCTCTTTTTAAATTGCACCAGAGAAAGTAGTTTAAAATTTTGATTATTTGCCACAGTAGGGCATTATCACAGAAGAAAATATTTTTGTATCATAAAATGATATTATAATAGATACTAAAATTTATCTTTGAAATGCTGGCCGCATGTAATGCTACATCTGGGTCATTCAACTGTAATTACCTGAATAATTTAGGCAAAAGCCATTTACTTGTTTTTAACTAAAACACCTGAGTAACAGAAAAAAGCTTGGGCTTTATCGAAATTGTGTATATTTTTTACCTGAACTTTTGTAGCATGTCAGGCTAATACATTTTCCTGAAGAGATTTCTAATTATTTAGTTAAAGTATTTTGAACTTATTGGATTCTGTAACTGACTAAGTAGGAGAATGGTACAGTGAACTTTGTGGGTAAAATTGGTAGGTAAAAGTTTAAGGAGCTGCAAGATAATAACATAGTCTCAAAGTACCTCTCCCAAAATACTTATCAGACTCCACCTTAACCTAGGCCTCAAGATAAATATCTTGATGTATGATACAATGATGGCCCTAAAACTGTGCGCTGGAGAGAAGCTTCTTGCTTTCTGATCATGTGCACTACGGTAGAATAAAAAGCCTGCTAAAATGAAAGCCCCATAATGTTTAAAAGTCAGGACTATGATCGTTATTGAACACACTTATCTATTATACTTTGAGGGCTTAATAAGTGTTTGATTCTAAGCAATTACTAATTTATTTGACATTTAGTGAGCATCTACATGCAAGTCTAGTATAAAACAACACAGAGACCAACAGGTTAAGACAGAATTCTATAGCATGTTCTGTTACATAATTGGGCCTAGAGTAGGTTCCAGAATTTTGATTTAAGTATTCACAATGGGTCTTCCTAGTCCAGGTATCTTTAACTCAGGGTTTTATAAAACTAATAAAAAAAATCAGTTAAACATAATTGAGATTAACCCTCCAAATAAAATACATATCTATGTGTCCGTATTCAAATAAGGAATAAGTGAATAAATTTGCAAAAGATAGATAAGGGACAATGCTCCTTTATAGAGGAAGGTAGGAAATAGAAGATCAGCATTATAACACCATAGTAGTAATTGCTGCAAGCACGATCCTTTAGTGGATGCTGAAATTAGTGGGCTAAAGTTTAAGAAGGAGCAGGGTATTTGTGCAGTCTCAAAGAACCTCTTCCAAAATAAGTAACTTGACAGGAGAGAAACCTGGCAGACATCCCTTTGACAAAGGGCTCAAGGTTAATATCGCCAGCAATGAGACATAGTGGTATCCTGTGCCCTTTGATATAATGCCCTGAGAAGGGTCCATCGCTTCTCTGCTATCATCCCCAAGCAGTGCGAGCCTCGTTCTACCCATGAGCAGGCAAGCCAAAACTGAGGTGTATCACAGTCTGCCAAATGGCTAACCAGTTCTCCACAAAAGTCTCAAAGTTGTGAAAAACAAAGAAAAACAGGGACAGTAGTAGATAAGACGAGGCTGTGGACAGGACAAAACACTGTGGGATCCTGGATTGGCTGGATCCTGGAATAGGAAAAGGTCTTTGGTGGAGAAATGGGGGAAATCTGAACAGAGACTGCTGTTTAGTTGAAACAGTACAGTGCTAACATAATCTGCAGGTCCTGACACTTGTACTAGGGGCGTGCAACATTGGGGAATCTGAGTGATGTGTATACGGGAGCACCCTGGACTATTTTTACAACTCTTCTGTAAACTTAGAATTATTTCAAAGTTGTGTTTTTTTAAAGTTGTGTTTTTTTCCTTTTTATTGAATTTCTTGGAGTGGCACTGGTCAACAAAATAACACAGGTTTCAGGCGCACAATTCCACAACACACCTGTACACTCTAAGGTGTGTCCGCCACCCCTAGTCAAGTCTCTTTCCCTCACCATCTATCTCCCATACCCTCCTCCCCCTCCACCACCTCCTCCACCCCTCTCCCCTGAGCAAGCACCACACTGATGTCCATGCGCACAAGTATTTTTTTTAAGCAATGAAAACGGAGGCTGACACTATGAAATGAGCACAATATTCACTGTTGGACAAATACCTTAAGTGGGAAAGTCTAGGCTGCTAAATCTTTCACTGTCTGTCTTCTACTCCATCTCCACCACTTGAAACATGTTTGTTCCTTAAATATGGGCCTTTCCATATGTGGCAATGGCTCAATGCAACTGTCATTAGAGGTAACATAATATTCTCCTGATTTTCATTTGTATCTCAGCTTTTATGGCATACAAATACTTTCAGCATTTCCCTAGAGAAGAGTGATGAGAAGATTTTTTAGAGCAGGTATCGCGGGAGAAATATTTCAGTCTCAAGATCCATCAGGGTGCTTATTTCTTTAGCAACTTCTGGGTCTTCAAAGTGCTTTCTTTGCAAACAACCATTAGTTGTTAGTAAGTCTTGTTATGTGGTTATTGTTACCTGCAAAGTACACTATTAAGGCTTTTCCATTGGCTCAGCTAATATAATTTGTCCCACCTAATAGCAATGTTCCTTTTGCTAGAATATCTTGTATAAGACATGGCAAAACAGTTCTCAAATCTCTTGTTTAGAAGTCACTTTGAAAAGCATTTTGACAGTGTCTTGAAATGTTAAAAATAAAATTATCATATGACCCTGCATTTGATACTAACATACTAGTAGGGATATATTCAACATGTCTACACAAAAATTTACACAAATGGTAAGAGCAGCATTGTTCACAACAGCCAAAAAAAGTGTATATGCACACAATGAAATATTATTCAACTATTAAAGGGAATAAACTATGATAGATGCTACAACATAAACTTTGAAAACATCCTAAATGAAAGAAACTTATAGAAGACCACATTTTTCACAATTCATTTACATTAAATGTACAGACTAAGCAAATCAATAGAAACAAAATATGTTAGTGATTGTCAGAAGCTAAGGTAGAGGGGAAATGGATAATAATTGCTAATGGGAACGGAGCTTCTTTTTGGGGTGATGGAATGCTCTAAAATTGTGATGAGGGTTGATCAACTTTGTGACGATATTAAAAATGACTAAA